ATGAGGCTCATATTCCCTATTTATACCAAAACATTCCAAAAGTAAAAGAGGAAACAGACTGAAGGAATATTTAAGTTGTTTGAAGTTACTAACATTTAATCTGACTAGCTGATGCTGAACAGGCCACCGTTAATGAAACATCTGGAGTAATGTTCAGGCTATTTCTTCAAGAGGTTCAACAGAACAGTTCCTGTAACTGATGTAACATAGAGTGCTATTTTTGTAAGCAACAAAATCTATCATGGATTCTGATGTTCTTCCTTAAATTTGTCTTGGTGATAATTAATGGACTTGACCAGAATCACATCTGAAAGCCTATTTATTTTGTTTAACCAAACAACTCCATCAATCAATAACATTGAAAAAACCAAATGTACCCGAGAAGCACAATATCACACTCAATTTGCATGATTCTGCGATATTGATCCAACTTAAAACAGTTTAGGTTTTCATAATTATTGGTGAAGTAATATTCAAGATATTTATATTATAGTAATGTTGTAGAGTTTACAAATGTTTTTGCCATTAATTAGTTCAAACACTGTGCTTATAAAATAGTGTTTTGATTTTCCTGTCTATGTATAATCATAGAGATCATCAAATCATTCTAAGACAGAAGGAGGAAGAGACCATTGAAAATATCTTTTCCATGTTGGATCTGTATGAAAGCAAGTCAGCTAATGCACCTTCTTTGCTATTTCCTATTAACCCTGCAAATGTTTGTTTTTGCCTGTCACAAGTTCCATTTTTTTCCCCTATTCAACCTTTCAGAGGTGTTATTACACAGCTCTGGAGCAGATGGGACTTGAACCCAGGCCTGCTGGTTCAGGGGTAGGGACATTATCACTGCATCACAAGAGCGCCCCCACCCCCAGCCTGCAAATGTTTTCATTTCAGATAATTATCCATTTTATCTTTGAAAGCCATGATTGAATTAGCCCCCATCACACTTTCAAGCTTACTTTCCAAATCCTATCCACTTGCTGCATAAAATAATTCTTCCTTGTGTAGCCTCTAATGCTTTAGTCAATCACTATAAATGAGTGTTCTCTGATTCTTAACACCTCAACTCAACTCTGTCTAGTCTTTTCAGGATCATGATGATTATGCACACTTCTGTAAAATCTCCCCTCTAAGGAGCACAGCTTATCCAATTCATCTTCATTAATGATGTCCCTTGTCCTAATCTCAGAAAATACACCTTAGCTGCTGCCTTCAGATCCTTTCCAAAATGTTGTGCCCAGAAGTGGCCACAACGCTTCAGTTGAGGTGAAACATTTTATAGATGTCCATCATAACTTGTTTGTATTTTTTGGGCTGATGACTCTATTTAAAAAGTTCAGGGGCCCATGTGCCACGCTCGCAGTCTGTGCTCTGCCACATTCAACATTGTGTGCACATATATTCCAAGGTCACTCTGGTGCTGCATGTCCTCAAACCAGAGAAAAGTCCAAGCGCAGAAAGAAGCTATTGAGCCCATTGTGCGTGTGCTAGCTGAATAAACTAGCTGCCGATTCTAATTCCACATCCCACCTCTTGGTCCCTAGCCTTGCAGGTTACAGCATTTCAGGTGCAGATCCAGGTTCCTTTAGAATTAGTTGAATGTTTCTGCCCCAAACACCAAACTGAGCAGTGAATTCCAGCCATCCACCTCCCCACTGAGTGCAAATGTTATTTAATATGCCCCACTTATCCTTCTACAAGTCATCAACATTCTCTCTAAGCTGTGTGGCTCCTGGGAGGTTCTGCACATGCCGATTGACGTGCCAACATATTGACGTCCAGTAGTAGAAACTGCTAATGCACATGGATCTTGGAAATCTGCACAGCATAATAAATATTATAGGGAATATCGCCAATCTGTGCTCCTGGGAGGTGATCTCTCAACTATGAGAAACTCAAATCAAGATCCTCAATATTTTGCAAACCCCAATTAAGTCATACCTTAGCCTCTATTCTAAGGAAAGTAACCCTCACTTATCTGATCTTTCCTCATAGCTGCAATTTTCGAGCCCTGGCAACATTCTTGTAAATCTCCTCTGTCACCTAACTACTGTCTTAGATAATTCCAACACTACTCCCTGGCTTTTGTATTCAATAGCTTACCCAATGCGTGAAGTCATCCAAAAGCCATCTTTAACACCTCCTTTACCTGTTATGCCATTTTCACTGTGGACTTACACTCCCAGGTCTCTTATGGTCCTGTCAATACTCCCGTTTATTGTGTATTCCCTTGCTTTGCTTGCTGCTCCCAAATGAATACCATCGAATTTCTCTGGAATGAAGTTCACTTGCCAGTTTTCCACCCAGTGAACCAAAGTACTGATATCATCTTGCAGTCAATAGCCAGTCCACTTACTGTCAACTACCCGGCAAATGTGTGTGTTGTCTGCAAATTTCCCCCTCAAGCCTCACATGTTTAAGTCTAAATCATTAATATATATCACGGACGGCAAGAGACCCAACACTGAGCCCTGTGGAGCACCCACTCAGAATTATAAAAACATCCATCTGCCATTCCCTTTCATTTCCTGCCACTGAACCAATTTTGGATTTAACTCATCATATTCCTCCTGTACTCCATTGGCTTTAATTTTTCTGAACAGTCTATCATGTGGGGCCTTGACAAATGACCTAGTAAAATCCATGTAAATAACATCTATCCTACAATCATCATCAATTTTCCTTAGGTAACGCAGTGTAGAGCAGGAGGAACACGGCAGGCCAGGCAGCATCAGAGGAACAGGAAAGTTGACATTTCAGGTCGGAATCCTTCTTCAATTTTCCTTGTTACTTCCTCATAAAATTAAATTCAGATGATATGATATGAACTTCCCATAACAAATTCATACTGACTCTCCTTCATTAATCCATGTCTTTCCAAATAATTTCCATAGAATCCCTTCAGTGTGGAAACAGGCCCTTCGGCCCCACAAGTCCACACCGACTCTCAGAGCATCCCACCCAGACCCATCCTGCTATAACCCACCTAACCTACACAACCCTGAACACTACAGGCAATTTGGCATAGCCAATCTGCCTAGCTTGCACATCTTTGGACTGTGGGAGGAAACCGGAGTACCTGGAGGAAACCCACGCAGACACGGGGAGAATATGCAAACTCCACCCGGACAGTCACTTGAGGGTGGAATCAAATCTGGGTCCCTGGCGCTTTGAGGCAGCAGTGCTAACCACTGAGTCACCATGCCGCCGGTTAATCCTACTTCTCAATATTGATTCTGACAATTTTCCCACCACTAGGGTCAGATTAATTGGCCTACAAAAAACATTCTTTTTGAATAAGGCTAGAAAGTTAGCAAGCCTCTAATCCTTAGGTTTTCCATTTATGTTGAGTGAGAACTGATCCATTAGAATTCTATCCTTTATTGTATATTAACCTTTCTCATTCTCCTAACCAAATGGAACATGTTACACATCTATGCATTAAATTTAATGTTCCAAAAGCTTGCCCTATCAACCTGCCTATCCTCTTGAAGTCTATCACTATCCCCCTATATTTCAGAATACTTTGAAGTTTTGAGTCAACTGTAAACTTTGACATTGTGACCTCACAACCAGTCTCAGGCCCTGATTTCCGATCCTCAGTAGGATGTGCAGAGTTCGGAGATATCATAAGATGCAAAGCTGACCTTTCCAAATGCCTACATGCTTCTCTCAATTTTTGGTCAGGAGGGTTGGATTGGTTTGGGAGTCAGACCAGGTGAATGTAGGGAGGTCTGTGGGCAGACAGCCTGCCTTGGGCCTCCATCACCATTTAAAATTCCAGAAGGAAAGATAAAACAGAAAACAGAAAACAGAAAACATCTCTCCTGCTCTCAGCCTCATTCCTCTCATTCTCCATGGCCACTCATACCTCCTATGCTGCTTCATGCCATCTAATGCTTCTGAGTTCTCATACCATCATGAAAACTACCTATCTCCAATGTCTCCTGAAGACCCATATGCTCCTAATCATCCCCATGGCCCTTTATAGAACCTATGCCAAGAGTGGCAGGCTGGCATTTCATTTAGATAGCCAGGTCTAAAAAAATCAGGGCTGAGCATGCCCCAATATGGCTGGCTTATCCTGCTGCTATTTGATAGTTGCCAGTCATTAACTGGCTTGAGGCGTAACTTCAATCCCCATAAGGGAGGAAGTCCATTCTCTGAGAGATTCTGGTCAATCAAGTGACTCCAGGTCTCTGGTCCCAATAACACCAGCTGGAGCACTGGCCAACTCTGGGACTATGGCAGTGCCTGAGGGAGAAACCGGACTTCAAGGCTAGCAGGTGGCAGCAGTGGCAAGGATGAGGGGTGGTGGGGGAGGGCCAGAGTGGACAGGGCAGGAGGGATTGAGAAAACACATTGGAGAGGAATACCTTAGGTGGGCCTGCAAATGGCACATGTCACCCAAAAAGCATGGGCTACCATCTTATCATGTTTCACTGGGCGAGCTGGTAAGTTGCTGCAGCCCACCCTTGGCGGGGGTAACATTGCAGTGGGGGTAGGTGAGTTGGTGCCAGGAACATTGCTCGTTGCATGGTGTCTGATCTTATGAACCCTCCCAGCTAACACTCCACCCCTGGGCGGCTGTAAGATTCAAGTCTTTGATACTGACCCTCAGTACAAAAGGACAAATTATTGAAATTACTCATTCCTGAAATAAAATTCATGATGTCAGGAAATACTTGGTATTATGATAAGAAAGCAAACATTTAAGGAATGGCATTATTGAAAATAGTGATAAAAAATATTGCCCGTGCCAAATCATATCTCAACACCATTCAATATCTCAGAAATTTTCAAGATTAACATCTGTATAAAAATAAAGGTATAATTCCAGAAACATGACTAAAGTTTTTATTTTGATTGTCAAATATGTCAAATTAATGATTGGTCTTCAGTCTTGTTGGAGGGTAAAGGACTTAAAAGGGTGACAAAGATGGATCTGTTTCTTTGAAGGTATTTTTATAGCAAACAATATATTTGTTGGTACGTACCCATTCCTTGTAGTGCTGAGAACAAAACTTCTGCATCTTCAGCAGGGTTAAAGTCTGTTGCTGGAAAAATGGTTCCTTGATTCTGTGAAAATAAAATTCAAATTGCCAGCTAATTTGAATGAATGGGCTTGGGCAATACAGTACAAAGTGGAGGGCCACGACAATGATTGAACAGTACGTTCATTATTCATCCAGCTCTTATTTTACATTTATCCTGCAAGTGTCAAAATTTATATAAGCTTTTTTATTTCACATTTTTAATTTATATATGTATGTGATTAATATAATCGTTAAATGGGACAGAATGTATTTTGCAAACATCACTATATAAAAGTGCACTTGTGGAAATTGTTTCCTACATCTTTGTATCTTATGTATTTTCAGGCAAGGGAAGCAGGTTCATGTGTGCACGAGGAGTTGAAACCTCTGTATATGATATTGATACATGATGCAAAATCATCCCGCCTACTTCCAAACTTTTCTTGGGTAGATTTGAATGCAAGCAGCAAGCTTCAAAACAAATCTGTTGGCATAGCACCTAAATATTATGGTTGAAGTTTATCTTTATTTTTGACCATGGATTCTGGCATTGACAGCTTGCTGACCGATTTTTCCAAATTGTGTAGAAATTGCCAGCGTCACTGAGGTGAGCGTACAGTGGGGAGTGTGTCTTTAGTAAAGCTACCAGACTGTGAAGCCTTTGATCAGTGAGACTGAACAGCTCCGTCCATAGGCAGGTTGGTGGTTGATGCTCGCAGCATTCCATCTCAGAGTGACTCCAAGGTTTGAGAGCTTCTTTCATCAATTTTGTACATTCCTTATCCTTGACCAGAAACTAACTGGACTAGCCTGATAGTGGCCATGGTCCTCAGAGCAGATCATAAGCTTGACATTCTGTTCTGGGTAACTCACCTTCTGCCTCTCCAAGCCTGTCCGTCATCCGCAAGGCACAAGTCAGGAATGTGATGGAAAACTGTCCACATGCCTAGATTAATGCAGTTTCCCCAACAATCAAGAAGCTCAACACCATTGAGGACAATACTGTTTACTTAAATGGAACTCTATCCTCTGAAACATTCACTTCCTTATCAATTGATGTACTGTGAACTATAACAAGATTCACTGCAGTAACTCACCAAGGCACCCTTGACATAACCTTCCATATCTGTGACCTGTACAAGTTAATAGGACAAAGGCAGCAGATACATGGGGACCAGTGTCTGCAAGGTCCTCTCCAAGCTGCACACCATACTGACCAGGAACTATGTTCCTGTTTCTCTACTATCATTGGGTCAAAATCCTGGAACTTCTTCCCTCATAACCCTGTGGCCACACCTACACAACACTGACTGCTGCAGTTCAAAAAGGCAACTCACCACCACTTTCTCAAGGGCAATTAGAGACAAACAATAATTCCTGACCCAATAAACAATACCCACACATTATGAAAGAATTAAAGAAAACTCATCTTCAACTGAAATTCCCTATTGCCAGTATTCAATGTGGGTTGGGAACAATGTATGCGACTTCACTTTGCATCTCAGATGAGGATAAAAGGAGCAGCAACACCAACGTGAATAGCAGCAGCTGCCTTCTCCTCAGCCACATGCTGCTGCACAGGACAGAGGGAATGGACAGTAAAATCCTGTTCCAAGAAGGGGAAGCCCCCAACATGTGATCCATGAGCAGAGATCAAGTCTTCACATGTATGAGCACCAGAGTCTTCCAGAGAATCAGGCTCCCAAGGCATCTCCTCAGTGGTCTCCTGGAATTAGACTTCCATCCCAGAGAGCAGGTGGGCACACATTGCCAATGGATGTTAAGGTTCCAGTTGACTTGGAGGGCCTTTCCAAATCCTCCAAGCCCCTTCTCCATTGCTCTCTACCTCTCTATGAGGTGCATCCATATGATAGAAGAGAAGGAAAATGTTCACTGAGGACAAATGTGAGTCATGGTTGAAAGGACAGGAGGATAATTGGGGGTGTAAATAGCGGCTGTTCAGAGGGGAATGTGTGGCCATGCTTGTAATGATTGAAGCTATAGTGCATGCTGATTTGAGAATCTGTGCACCAGAAAATGCTGGGATATCAGCATGTGGGGCTTGGAAGTGTAACACCAGTCACAATTTCCACCCTCCTGAGGTGCTGGATCCATTCAGTGCGCTGCCTGCCAGTGATTTCTTTGGCCACTTCCATCCACAACTGCTTAGCTTGCTACACTGGCCTCTCCCTTCCATCATCAGGAGAACTCACCTCAAAGCAATCCCTCAAATTCTGCAGCAGGCCTTCCCAGTAAGAATGGGAATCTCAGTGCATACTCTTTTCTGGTCTTCTCTTAATTCTTGTGGTTTCTGCAGTTTCAATAATCCATGTACCAATTCAATCATTCTGTCCACTGCTAAGGTCCCTTTGATTAGGAATTCTACCTCTGACAGAGCTGGCATGTCAACCCACCATCCTCTTTGATTGGCCAGGACATCTAGAGACAGGTAGGCTAATACAATGGCTAAGTTCAAGGGACTTGGCAAAGTACATTGAAACTGTAAATGTGTTTCTGACCCACTGTAAGTTCCACCTTTTCAGAAGTGACCATCATTTTAAATCCCCCATTATATTAAACTGTTTGAACTTTTTTTATTTACAAGAGGAAATATTTGTTAATATTTTATTTTTTCCACCAGCAGCATAACTCAGAGATAACATTGAAAAATTACTTGATGTTCATTTCACTAACATATAAAAATCTTGCATTAGATATTAACACATGACTGGAAAGTGCATATTCTTCTGTTGAAGACTAGAAATTGTATACTTAACAATTAAACTTTCCAACTTAATCATGTATCTATTTCTATGAAAGAGTTTCTAAAACAAATTGATCTTAGCATGTGGGTATATGGCTAGAAAGGCCAATATTTATTGCCTATCCCGATTGCTTCTGAGAAGGTGATGGTGATCTGCCTTCTTTACCTCCATAATATAATCTATAAACATATCAAACATGAACTGAAGTGAACCAATTGGCCCTTGAGGCTACTCTGCTAATAAATAAGATGATGGCTCATCCGTTTGTGTTTCATTTTCCATATTCCCATCCATCCCCAATAATCCTTGATTCCCCTGCCTAACACGAATCTACCTAAATCTTCCTCAAAATATCAAAAAAAAATCCACTTCCACTGCCTTCTGAAGCAGAGAGCTCCATTACCCTTTGAAAGGAAAAGAATACTTAGCATTTCTGTTCTAAAAAGGTGACCCCTAATTTTAAACAGTGTGCCCTTGTTCCGGACTGAGCACAGAAGGAAATATCCTTTCTACATCCACTATTGGAAAGGTCATTCAGGATCTTATACATTGCAATAAAGTCACCTTCTCTCTTCTGTATGTCAGCGGAGGTGAGCCCCACCTGAGTAACGTATCTTTATAAAACAACCTGCTTGTTTCATTGCAGTGTAGTTACACCCAGTGCTGTTAGGGAGAGAATTCCCAGGTTTGATCCAGTGACAGTGAATAAACAGAAATATAATTCCAGGTCAAGATGGTGCATGACTTGGAGGGAAATGCACAGATGATGATATTTCAAAATGCTTACTGCTTTTGTTCTTCATGGAAGTGGAGATTGCTGTTGAAGAAGCTTTCATGACTGTTGCAGCGCCCTTGTAGATGGCATTAATATTAGCTATCATACACCGGTGTTGGAAGGATTGAATGTTTAAATTGGTGGATGGGGTGCCAATCAAACAGGTTGATTTCTTCTGGATGGTGTTGAGCTTCTTGAGTGTTGTTGAAGGCAAGTGTATAGTAATCTATCACACTCCTGACTTATGCCTTGTTGACAGACTCTGGGAAATCAGGGGTGAATTGACATGCTGCAGAGTTCCCAACCAATGGCCTGATTTTCTAGCCACAGTATTTATATGGTAGGTCCACCTAAGTTTCTTGTTAATGTTAACTCTGTAGGCTGTTGCTATTCAGAGAGCCAACAATGATATTACCGTTCAACAGCGAAGGATGATACTTGGATTCTCTCTTGTTGGAAATAGTCACTGCCTGGGGCTTATGTGGCACAAATATTACTTGTCGTTCATCAGCACAAGCCTGAGTGATGTTTAATTCTTACTGACTGTGAGCATTGACTGCTTCAATATCTGAATGGTAATGTACTGTGCATTTGCCAGTGAACATCCCCATTTTTGATTGCATTATGGAAGGAAGGTCTATGACAATGCAGCTGAAAATGGTGGGCCTAGAACACCGGCCGAAAGGAACTCCTAGTGATATCCTATGTCTGGGATGATAGGCCTCCAACAACCCCAACGGACTTCCGTTGTCCTAAGTATGAGGCAAATTAGTGGAGTGATTCCCCACTCCAACCTGGTACCGACTGACTTCAATTTTACTAGGGTTTCTTAATGCCATACTTGGTCAAATGCTACCTTATTACTAATGGCAGTCACTCCCACATGACTTCCAGAACTACTTTACCCCTGTTTGAAACAAGGTTGTAATGACATCTAGAATCAAGTGGAATCCAATGTATATTTGAGGATGGTGGGGGGAAATTATTCCAAGTGGTGTATTTAAATCGCCAAATTATACATGAAAGTAAAATTTGCAGCTGTATTGATGATCTGCTGGAAACGATAAGGAGAAAATGTCTGTTAATATATTTTTCCTGTTTTAAATATATCATGAATATTAGGCATCGATTAGAGCATCTCCTTTATTTTCACCTTTTGTTAACAGGAAGGTAGAACAAATTCAAACTGCAATTTATCTTACCAGGATTTATTGGTATTTGAATTAAGTAGAGACAGGCCTAATGTGCACTGACTGTTTGTTTTCCACAAGTGTGTATATCACTGACTGCGGAAGGATTTCTGGGAGATCAATTCAACCCTCCCTCTCTGAGATGTCCCCGCCTGGTAACAATGTTTAAAAGACATTTAGATAAGTACCTGAATAAGAAATGTTTGGAGGGATACGGACCAAGCACTGGCAGGTGGGACAAGTGTAGTTTGGGATTGTGGCTGGCATGAACTGGTTGGACCAAAGTGTCTGTTTCCGTGCTTTATGACTCTATGGCTCCATGACTGATACCTGGCCAGAGGAGCTGAGTGAAATTAGTATTTCTTCCTCTGTTCCCTCACCAATATGTTACAGTGTGGCTAACGGAAATTATTATGTTGCTATTTTCGGCACTTGTTCCCAAAATACATACTTATATTCACTAAAAACAAAAGATTTGAAGTGATGGCTTTCATATAGAGTTATACAGTCATACAATAAACCTTTGGTCCAACCAGTCCACGCCAACCATAATCCCAAACTAAACTAGCCCCATCTGCTGGTGCTTGGCCTATATCTTTTTTTTAACTTGTTCACGGGATGAGGGCATCGCTGGCTAGGCCCATCCCTAATTAAGAGTCAACCACATGTGACTGGAGTCACATGTAGGCCAGACCAGGTAAGGATGGCAGTTTCCTTCCCTGAAGGACATTAGTGAAGCAGATGGGTTTTTCCGACAATTGACAAGATTCGTGGTCATCATTAGATTCTTAACTCCAGATTTTTTTTTAATTGAATTCAAATTCCACCATCTGCCATAGTGGGATTCAAACCCGTGTCCCCAGAACGTTATCTGGGTTTCTGGATTAACAGTCCAGCGGTAATACCACTAGGCCATTGCCTCCCCTTCCATGCATTTCTTATTTATGTACTTACCTAAATGTCTTTGAAGCTTAAATGTCTGTGAAGATTTACCATTGGCTTGTAACTGTACCCTCATTCACCGCTCCTTCAGAAAGTTCATTCCTCACATGAACCTCTCTCTGTTAAAAAATTGCCTCTTATGTCTTTTTTTAAAATCTTTCTCCTCTCACCTTAAAAAATAGCTCTCTAGTCTTGAAATTCCCCACCAAAGGGAAAAGACATCTGCCATTCACAGTTTAATAATATCCTTCCTATGACAGAAACCAGAACTGGACATAGTACTCTGGAAGCGGCCTCACTAAAGTCCTGTACAAAGTCAACGTAACAAAATGCCAATTCCTATATGCAAAGTTTTAAGCAATGAAGGCAAGCATGCTAAATGCCTTCTTAACCACCCTATCTGTATCATTCTAAATATTTCACAAATTTTTTTAAAAGATGGCCAAAAACTCTATGAAATCTCAGACAATTAATGAAATCAAACTGACATAAATGAATAAAAAGTGAAAGAACTGCAGATGCTATAAATCAGGAACAAAAACAAAATTGCTGGAAAAGCTCAGCAGGCCTGGCAGCATCTGTGAAGGAAAAAAACAGAGTTAACATTTCGAGTCCGGTGACCCTTCCTCAGAACTGACATAAATGAATAACTTTCAGTGAGAAAGAGAGTTGGACTCATGATCAGATAATGGACCAGTGCAATGAATGATTGTTTATAAACTAGAAAGGATTGCAGTGAAGCAATATGCAGAGTTGAGTACACTACTGGTCTTGTAAGGCTGCTTTGTCAAACATGTTATTGAGTTTGAGCACCGTGATCAAGTTCTGAATTGGCCAAATCAGGATTAGCTTTGTGTTCAAGTGAGTACCACACGCACAAAAATATTCAGTTATGGAGGTCAATTACACTCTTGTGCTATGTCCCTTTAAGTGAGTCTATCTAATTCAGTTTCACTGAGATATATTCCCTGACAGAGAAGGAAGCAGGTTCAATGAGAGATTTTGATAAATTTTGCTAGTAGAGTAATGATTGCACATATTTTCTGGAAAATCACAATGCCTAAACTTTCTGGGTTAATGTTAGATTCCAAGTAATTTTTACCATACCTATAAAATTATTTTCAGAACAAACTACTTTTTAGAAAGAATCTTGATTGTTCTTCAGTATTCAGTATATTATTTGTACAAGGATAAACTGGGTAAATCTCTCATGCGGCATTTACAACCAACATCAGACTTTTCAATGAAGATGCCAGGAACATATCAAAAACCCAGTGGGACACTAACAAGCAAGATAAAGATTTACCACTGACCTGAACTAATTATGTGAATCATGACACGGATGATGAAAATTACATCTGTTCTCGATACTGGCATATGGATTAATTGAAAGCCACTGACATAAATACTTAGTACTTTAATCATTCACTTGCCAGATATACAGCAATTACAAAGGACCTCCTTATGCAGAACAGTATGGTATAGAAGAAAGAGAGAATTTTCTTCAAAAAAAAAGCACTTACCATTTGACCACAATACATATTGAAGATTCTCTGCCTTGAGTTGGCACTTCTGTAATATAATCAAATTGGAATGACAAATGTATGACTCTGACCTTGCAAATGATTTAAATAGCTCACTTAATTTACATAAAATGGTCACACCATGAATAAATTGTGTGCCCAATCACAAGTTAGATGCTCTCTAAGTGACGGATGAGGGCTCATGAACTATGAGATTAGTTCTACAAACTGTGCCCTGTAGTATTGATTGGTTTGCCTAGTTACACAAAAATCATATCACAAAATGTCATATTAGCATTCTGGCAAATATGCACTTCACCTCCAATATTGTACAGCCCTAAGAACGTTGCACTGTTCATGTCAAAGAACAGCTCAAACATTAATTTAAAAGATTGAAAGGAAATAGATTAATCATTTCATATATTTCTGGGGTAAAATAACCCTAGTAGTCCATGTATAAGGTGATCTTTGAAGCTTAGAAAAATCCTTTCAATAATGACGGTCGACTTTCATGCCAGATAGAAAATATATCAAACCAAACAACACCAACGGATATAATGAGATTTAGTCTCATTTCCAGTGGGAGACACTGTGACAATGTAAACTGTTTAACATTATGTGGGAGGCTGGCAAAGCCAAATTAGTCTTTTTTGGCAATGTGTAGTATTTTCAACATTTATTTGATAAATAAAGTTTGTTCTGGTGCCATACAATAGATGTTTGTGCCAACATAAAATAAAATAAATCACTTTCTAGCCATCTAACTGCACTAACTAACTATGAAGAAAGAAAACTACTGTACGTCTTTTTAGAGACATGGGATACAATCTTTTACTCTGTGGGATAGGGGCCTCCACTTTCCTGTGATGCGGAACCCTTCAGTGGGTGACAGCGTTAAACAAATGTCCACACAGTATAGATGAAAGATAGCTGCAATTGCTAAGTGCTGTTTGTGAACCGTACACATTCTCCTACTGTGTGGAGTCCAAGTCCTGGCTTCAAGACCACATGATGCAGCACTATAAATGAATCTCACTGAAGGCTGTGATGCACAAGCAATGTATGGCAGCCTGGAAAGATTTCCCTGGTCACCAAAGCAATAATCATTTCGAAAGGTCCCATAGTGTGCACATGGTGCTCACTTTACATCTCGGACTATAAAACATTGTGTAGTCCTCAGGATAGTGAGGCTCTGTACTTTCATTCTTGTAACTGCAGCTAGAATGACATACAATCACACTGCTGATGATGTACAATGAATATATATTTACAAATATGGGAACGTATTTATAATGAAGTTTCACCTGTAGCAATATTGTACCCACAGGATTTAATCTTCCTCCTTTTTGGCCCTCTACATCTCAGCAGTTTGCTTGGAGAAGACCAGCTCTATATGGTGCCTGTTGATTTAGATTTAGGTTTATTTAATATTTTCACTTCTACCTAGGTACAGTGAAAAGTGTATTATGTGCCATGCTCCAGCGCCATCTTGGATTACATAATAAATTGCTGAGTAGATTGTATAAATTATAAAGTACTGAATGAAATGACATTAAATTGATGCTACTGAAACTGAAACAGCTTGGAACGTTCATCTTTCCCTCTCGTAGACTTCACCCATTCTGCTCATCCTGTCACCATCTACCAACATTGTCTCCGGGCAACTTGATTCTTTTCTGTCACCACTGGCGCTGTTGCTTCCACTTATGCCGCCTCCGAGCTGGAGATGGTCACGCTACACAGGTCCTGCACCTCCTCTGATGCTGGACATCAACCAACACGACCACGGCTCCAAGTCAACTGACAGAGTCATGGCTCATCTTCCGACACTGCCACCCAAGATGAAGTGGGGATGGAGATAAGCGGGGCCCTGGCCTCCCATAGGAGGACATCAGGAGGAGGCCCCAGGGCAGCCAAAACCAAAAAAAAACACTGAGCTGTAAAGACAATGATAAAGCCATGTGGATGGGGCAGAAATGTGGATGAGCCAATGAGCAGCCAAGTCAGGTGCTCAGGAGCTGAACGTTGCCGTTCCCGCCACTGCCATCTTGGAAAAGATGTTGGCTCTGGAGTTTTGGTCAGGTGACCATGATGGTATTCGTGGCCAGAGGCTCCAAACATGATGAGTGTCCTGATCTGATGCACCCTCTTCAGCTTGAACTCCCGCAGGCTGAAGTTGGCAGGCAAGATGGAAGTAGAATGCTTGGCCACATTGTGGAGTGTTCTGAATGGAAACATTTGTGAGGGACGGGGCGGGGATGCGATCAGTATGTTTCCTGCTCTGGCTGGCTCTGCCTTGTCTCCTACTGAGCAAGGGATGCCTATAGTGAGGTCAAGATTCCTCATCCCTCTGTCACCTTGCAACAATGGCTGGAGTGACGGGTTGCTAGTCTGTGGTATCCAAAAGACATTAAGTGACAATTGGCAACCTGTTCATGGAGGCAGCCAGACACTTGCATATCAGAAACAGTATGGTACAAGCAGTGTTAGTGAAGTCCTACAACCTGGTATGTTGCCTCCCTTATGCTAGGGTCCACAATGTCACTGAACAGCTGCAGGAAATACTGAACGGTTTGGCATGATAAGCAGAGATCATGGTACATGTTGATACTAATGATATAGGTGGAAAGAAGGATGAGATCTTGCATCACGAATTCAGGGAGCCAAGTAGTAGACTGAAAAGCAAGGTAATGTCTGAATTGCTCCCAGTGCCAGATGCCAGCAAATACAGAAATAGTGCAGATAAATGTGTGGCTTAAGAGTTGGTGCAGGAGGTAGGGTTTTAGATTCCACTGGAACCATTCCTGTACAAGCCGGACGGTCTACATCTGAACCAGAGTGAGACTGACATTCTTTTGGGACTTTCTCAGTGCTGTTGAGAGGAGTTTAAACTAATTTGGCAGAGGGAGGGGACATAGACTGTCGGCAGAATAAGGGCGCAGAATCATACAGTAAAACAACTAAGTCGGAGGGAGTACAGCTCTATTAATGTGCAAAGGAGTAAGGCAAGGATGGGTGGTCTTTAATGCCAGGAGTTTGATGAGAAGAACAGATGAGTTAAGGTCAATGATTGACACAGGAAGTGTGATATATAAGCCATCACAGAGACGTAGTTGGGGGAGGGGCAATATGGCAACACTCCATTCTGGGATGTAGAATCTTTAGGCTAAGCAGAGGAGGAAGCATTACATCATTGGTTAAGGAGTAAGTTAATATAGAAAGGAGAGATGATATCTTGGGGGGGGCTTCGAATGAAGCTTTATGGGTAGAGCTTATGAATAAAAAAGGGGGCAGCTACATTGCTAGGTGTATATTACAGACCCCCCGAGAGTTGGTGGGAAATTGAGCCGCAAATTTGTGCACGACTTATGGATATGGGTAAAACTAATTATAAAAAGATAATTCTAGTAGGTAATTTCAAATTTCCCACCATTACTTGGGATAGACATAGGGCATAGATGGAGTGGATTTCTTGAAATGTCTACAGGAGAACATTTTAGGCCAATATGTAAAGGTTCCAACAAGGAACAGAACTGTTATGGACCTAATTCTGGAGAGTGAAGCCCAGACAATTGGTTGAGGTGGTGGTGAGGGAACGGTGTAAAGATTGCAATCACAACATGGTACAATATAACAAAGTTATGGACAAAGAAATAGATAAATTGCAAAAAAAATGGATTGGGGGAGGGCAGATTTTAGCAAAATAAGGCAGGATCTGGCCGAAGTATGCTGGGAAGAGCTACTAGTAGGGAAATCTACGCAAGAGCAGTGGGGGGAGTGTTCAAAAAGGAAATGGGGAGGGTACAAGCCCAATATGTTTCCTGTAGGTTGGTAAGAAGGAGTAACAAGGCCAGAGAACCTTGGATGACCAGAGATATTCAGAATAAAATGAAAAGGAAAAGAAAGGTTTTTAGCAGGTACAAGGGGAACAGCTGCAATTCTGGTCGCCACATCGTAGGAAGGATGTGATTGCACTGGAGGGGGTACAGAGGAAATTCACCAGGATGCTGCCTGGGTTAGAAAATTTAAGTTATGAGGAAAGGTTGGTTAGGCTTGACTTGATTTCATTGGAGTAGAGAAGATTGAGGAGCAATTTGAGTCAAATGTAAAACATTATGTAGAGCATGAATAGGGTCGATAAGGAGCAGCTGTTCCCCTTTAGTTGAAGGGTCCGTCACAAGGGGACACAGGTTCAAGGTGGGAGGGGGGTTGGAGGTTTAGGGGGGATGTGAGGAAAAACTTTGTTACCCAGAGTGCAGTGACGGTCTGGAATGCACTGCCTGGGATGGTGGTAGAGGTGTGTGTCCTCACATCGTTTAAAACGTACCTCGACGAGCACTTGGCACATCATAACATTCAATGCTACAGGCCAAGTGCTAGTAAATGGGATTAGGTTGAAGGTCAGGTGTTTCTCACGTGTCAGTGCAGACTCGATGGACCAAAGGGCATCTTCTGCACTGTATGATACTATGATTTTTTTTGTGTCAGGTGGCCCAGTGCCTTTGACAACCCTTTTTCTTCATTTGTATGAAGTTCTTAACAGATGGTACCATGCTGTCCTCCCCTGCCTTGGACTGATTAGGTGCCTGTTCTACAACAGTCCTTCATGTGCCAGTGACCTGGAGTATATCTTCCTTTATCTATGGAGATGTGGTAGTTATGAGTTCACCAGCATGTGTTCCCAGCTCTAATCTAGCTTAAAAAGGTGTCAGTATCTGAGCAGATGGAGGTTGCAGGAAGAAGCCTTGCAGGTGCATCCTCTGAGGGATCTGGGGCTTCTTCCTCAGCTCGCCATCTTGACCATGGAGACTACGCAAATTCCACTGATGTTTGTAGGAGATGAAAGAGAAGATGTGCCATGAGAAAGGTCGGAGTCCAGACATGTCAAACATACATGCAGCAATAAGAAAACAACACAGTAAGGGACAGTGGTAGAGCAAATTACTGCAGATGCTGCAACAACAATGGTTGTTACTTGGTTGCTGGAACATGGAGGTTTCAGCATCACTACAGAAACAGTCACAGTCCTCACCAATCTGGGCCAGAGCCAGGATCCTCTCATTGTCAGGGGTGCAGAGCCAAAT